AGCACAGGGGGAGGGCATGTGGCAGGGTTGAGGAAACAGCGCTTCACTGGGTCACTGAGTGACACCCTCGTATGTATGGGGATCCCTGCTTTGTTGGGGGGGAGACCCTGTGGACCCTGGTGGGTACAGATACTGTCATTCTCCAGTGTCCCTTCCCATGGGCCAACGACCAGCAGAAAGTTACCGTTCTCTGTCTGTTTGGGGTGCTTCTCCCTGACGTCGGACTCAGAGATCCCGAGGTGTCCAGTTCATCAGCAGAAGACCAGGAGGACAGATCCTACGTAGGAAATAGATTCTTTTGATGACTCTACGTCCCAGAGCCAGATGGCTCTGTAACACACAATGTGCTTCCTGTCCCATCCCCATCCATCCCCCATATAAATCAAGCCATTCATTCCTTGGGAAAAGTAGAATTCGACAACTACAAGAAGATCAGGACTTAGGTCTTCTAGTGTATTGGGATTTCCTGGATGTTTGTCCCTTTTGGAAAATACAGCTACAGGGTCATTCTTACTGTGTCACTTATAGATTTATTATTTCTCAGTGACATGGATATAAGTGAGTCTAAGTGTAGGAGGGGAAGGAATCTGCCTTAGAGCTGCAGGTCGCTCAGGCCAGAGAGACCAATTCATTTGAGTTAGAAACGAAAGTCTCCCAGGAGCCTTTGAGCATCAGAGAAAACGTGTCACTTCCAGCACTGCTGTTCTTGCAGTAGACTGTTCTCTGACATTCCGAACGGAGGGCACAGTGCTTGTGTGTTCGTACAGTATTTCACAGCGGAATGAAGTTTTACCAGGCACCTCTGCAGCTGCAAATGCACATCTCCAAACCAACGCCACTCATGATGCACCAGACCGAAGGAAAAAATAACACAATTCATGCGCACAGGACATTTTCTATGAATTAACTGCTGTTCGTGTCAGGAGAATTCAACCTTTTAGGCTGAATCATATGCAAATAATTGGTTGTGATGTATCATGGCTACGGTACAGAAAATACGTGAATTCTTAACTAAGCAGAGTAAAATAAAATGTCACAGTAGTGGTGGTGTGAGGTTAGCAGCAACAATTACAGGAGGTCTCCTGGGTGTGACAGAATCAAAAGCAGTATGTCCTATTATAAAAGTTTATAAGTCCTGCCCAGCTGGTGTGGCTCAGTGGTTGAGCATCAACTTATGAACCAGGAGGTCGCAGTTCGATTCCAGGTCAGTGCACATGTCTGGGTTGCTGGCTCGATCTCCAGTGTGAGGTGTGCAGGAGGCAGCCAATCAAGGATTCTCTCTCCTATAAGTCCCTTTCTTATTTTGAGACCGGACTTGCAGGAGCCGTGACAGTGAGTGGACACTCAAATACATTCTGAAATGGACAAGGATGATGCTTCCTGATGCTCTGTAGGAAAGGCTACACAGTGCTGCCTGCTGAGCGCTTACCTGCTGACTGCTCGACATGTCCAGTAACTTCTCCAGCTCCTTGAGGTGACGACCGACCTCCTTCAAGAGCAGTTTGAGCCGGTTTCCAATCACATGGACCTTTTCTTTGGCTTCTAAGCAGTCTGTTCCTTCAGCGTTCACCAATAGCTGGCAAGACATGTCTTGCAGCGAGGCCACTTTGAGCTGGGATTCCAAAAGCTCCTGCCTTATTTGCTATGTACAGAGTAAGAAACATTTCTCTAAGGATTTCTGATCATTAGGGAAAGTCTGCAGTGCAGAATGACATCACTTTAACTTACTGGGCACTTATGCCTGAGCCTCAGAATGCTGAGCTCACACAGGAAGGATAGAGCCGCCCATGGCATTTGGGAATCAGGGACCTGTGTTCTAATCTTGCCTCCACCAAAACCATTCCCTAAGACCCCTGAGCCTTTTGGATGTGAATTTTGCTTCTTTGGTTAAATGATGTTATTATTTCTTGCCTGATCCACAGTAAGTATTCTTGGGTTCAACTTAGTAAATATATGTGAAAGCACTTAAAATAGAAAGTATTATGCAAATGAGACATATGATAGTCTTTTAAACAGAACAATAAAACATTACCATAAATGTATCAGACCTCCAGTATGTCTAGATACACTCAGCTATCTGTTCAAGATTTTAAAAAAGATATGTGGTGATTTATCATTTACAACTTAAAGCCTGAGGTTCGAAGTCTAGTGGAAATGCAGTCGCATCACTATTTCCTCTTATATTTCTAAGACCTTTATGGTACTGAATTAGAAGCGACCAATTCTGCTGGTTAGGATAGTGAGTGTTAAATGGTAAGAAATAACATCTAAAAAATGCAGAAAGCTACAAAATTCAACTCATTTTCTCCTAATGGGATGCAAATCTGCTTCTGTATCATCTGTGAAGTCACTTAAGTACGCGGTACGTTATATTGTCCACAGTTCTTTGTATGAGGATCTACCCAGAAATTTTACCTGAGAACTGGTATGCTTCCTGTTTGTCAGATAATGAAAATAAGTGAAGTCATCACGTTTCCCTTTTTGTCTTAACTTTCAGGAAACTTGATGTTAAGGTTAATGTAGAATTCGATTCACTTACTAGTAATTCCTCTTTGCAAAGCCCTAATACTCTCTATTTTAATAGTTGTAATGAATGTCCTTTTATTATACACCACCTCCTATACTTTTGGAACAGGGATGTAAGAAATCCAGTTTAAATGAAACAATAAGTGTAATTCACCAACGACCTGCTTTAATAAAAACAAGTTAATTAAGATTAGAACAGCTAAGATTTCTACAATTGAGCCACGGCTTTAGAACCAGATTCTAAAGCTAGTCGATGTCCTCTTCTGTGCACGTATTTGCTTTACAAAAATTAACTTAGAGACTATAACTTAAAAGGTAAAAAATATAACCATTTCTTTTCCTGCAAATGAAAGGGATCACTGCTAAAACAACCAGAGGCTGCAGCGTTCACACATCTTACCGTAAGCTGCTTGTGCTGGTCCTGCAGTATTTCTGCATCGAGGTGAGAATCAATAGGAACAATTTCATTTTTCCTCCTATCGATGTTCTCCAGCATGAGAAGCAAGCCATGGCTCATCTCATGGAAATCCTAGGGAAAAAGTATAGAGCAGGAAATCATCTTGAATAATACAGTTTTCTTTCATACACAGCTTACATTTCTATTCTTTTTTTCTTTTTTACATTTCTATCCTTTACAACTGCTACCATTGGCAAAGACACGTTGGCTTTATGATCTTAGACACAACTCCTTTCTGAGCAAGGTGCTTGTGCTGTTGTAATTCTCGGAGCAGGTGACGAGGGCACATCAGAAGACAGTTTCTGAGCTCACATTCTTTCCAAAAGCATCTAATTTATTACTGGAGGGAAGATTCAGACATAAGGAAAATTGGTTCAAAATAAAAAATACTTTAGAAATTTCTAGGGCTATTATGTAGTTTGGAAGGAAGCAGCTCTGCTCCCCTCTCATCTCCCTGAATTCAAATCTTCCCATCTTTTTAAGGCCTACATCCAATCCCTGTGTCCTTCATCCATCCATTTGTTCATTCATTTATTTAACGTTTAGTTCATGGACATCTCCTGGGTGAAACACACTATACTAGGAGGGGCTGCAGGGTTGAAACCACAGCTTGGGTACCTGCTGTCAAGGAGCAGGCTTCACACCCTGAAAGGGCTTCCCTTCGTGTCCAGCATACAACCCAAGCTCCTGGCCAGGACCTACCAGGCCCTGCACGATCTCATTCCTGATCACCTGCCTGATGGTTCTCGTCACTCCTGCCTCTCTGGCTGCATTCTGATCACACTGACCTCTTTCCTGTCCTTGGAGACACTAAGCCCTTTCCATTTGTTCTATCTCCTTCCTGGATCCATCCTCCCGATGTCAGCTCAAAGATGCTTAGAACTTCCCTGAACTCCCTCCCAAAAAGGCTTTTCTCAAGTCCTCTGATCAACATCTGGAAGCATCTTGGTTAACCATTGAATTGCATTTTTATTGTCTGTTTTCCCCAACAAGAGAGGCTGTGGTGTGACTGCTTAGTGCAATGCCTGTCAAACAGTGAGACTGGGCCAGTGTGGTATGTATGAGTAAGTATTTGCAATGCTCACTTTGATGTTCAGAAACTGTCTTCTGACGTGCTCAGTAAATGTCTGTTGAATGAGTGAATGCCATGAATGAGTAGAAGAAGGGGTGGTGGGGCTGAGATGAACTTGTGGGAAGAGTTTCTTGTTAGCTGGACAGAAGATGGGGTCTGGCTGCTCTGAACTGCTGTTCACGTGTACACATTCTCTACTCAAATAAAAAGTTTGGGCACAACGCGATCGCACTCCGAAACTGACTTTGAGGAGCAACCGCATCCCTCTGGTGACCTTGGTAAACCAGGTCACAGACTTGGCACACGTGTGAGTGGGAGCACAGCCTGCCCAAAGCCCCGCGGACCTGACACTGCATCAGCGCGCCCTGGAGCAGGCCCCGCCACTCCTCCAGCAGGGAGCACACCCGGTCCCAGCGCGCGTTCATCTGGGACAGGCGGTCCTGCAGGGCCTGGCTCTCCTCGCCGCCCGTCTGCGTGAACTCGGAGCTGCACAGGTTGATGGAGAGGATGATGGCTTTGCGGTGATCCACGGCTTTCTGCAGCTCCTACAAAGAGGAAGGAGAACAACCGAACAAGGAAAATAACGATAAAAATATTTAAAATAATAGTCTAAGGCCTTTGGAAAGGCTTCACTCAAATAAAAAGATCCATGAATACAAACTGGGCCTTGACAGGATGTCCAGATAAGTTACAGTGAGTTCACACCACGGAGAACCGTGCTGCAGTTACAAGAGCTGGACTGGATGTACACTTGACAACATGAATAGATCTCAGTAAAATATGGGGCAGAGTGAAAGAGTCAAACAGAATGATATGTGCAACACAACAGCATGTGTGTGATTTAAACTACATGCGCTCACACACAAATCTACTATTTTGTGAATGAATATACAGGAACAAAGAATACTCATTAAGTATTTCAGAATGGATGCTGTGGGTCTGAGGAATGAGAATTAAAAAACAGTCTGCGCGAGCGTGTGTGTGTCGGGGGGGAAGGAGACATAAATAAAATTAAGAGGCATTTCGCAGGAAGCAACCGTGACCCTATGCAATAAAATAAGGAATATGAGTAACTTGACCCCCCGGCATGGGATTTCAAAAACAAAATGAAACAAAACCGGCTCCAACAGTTCTGAGCAGCAGGAAGTGCACTTTTTGTCCTAGTGTAACAATCCCATCTCAATAGACCAATGGTACTCAGAGCTCTGTGCATGAGAACAGAATGGGAAACTGGGCGAGAAAGCAGATTCCCGGGCCCTGGCCTCCAGCTGTTGCAACTCCATCGGCACAGAGAGCAGCTCCCAGGCTGAGGACACTGGCTACGTCACAGGCCACCTTCTGGTGATGGCTAGGAGCATGAGTTGGGTATTTCATCAGCTAACCAATTTAGTGTGATCACACACACACACCTGTACCTGGATGCAACTGATTTTTACTTTGTGCATTTCCTAAAAACCTAGAATGAAATTCCAAAAACTTAAAAGCATGGTTATGTATTGATGGAATAGCGAGGTTGATCAAGTTAGGGTGAGTGATCCTGCAAATCCCACCCACCCAGGCTACATTTTCTTAGAATTTCTCACTTTTCTGTGGTGTTTCCAACTTGTCTTAATTTTTCAATTTTCAATAGATTCTTAAGAAACTGAATATATAGTCAACCACAGAGACAGTATAAGATGGAGGGATATTGTGGAAAGACAGTTGGTGATGCCACAGATTTATCCTCAGAAAACAGATAGGATTCTGGGGGAGGGGTGCAGGCTGACCACCAGGGTCTCACTCCTCCACCCTCATCTCGCTTAGATCAGACTGGGACCAGCATTTGCTCCATCACCTTTATAAGGAATTTGGTTTTAATGCAACGCCGCCCGACATTTTCTCAGAGAGAAACTCAAGGAATTTAAGTACTCTAGAAAAAAAAATGCTTCTGATGCCCAGCTGGTGTGGCTCAGTGGTTGAGCGTCGACCTATTAACCAGGAGGTCATGTTCGATTCCTTTTCATTACACATGCCCAGGTTGTGGGCTTGATCCCCAATGTGTGGAGTGCAGGAGGCAGCTGATCAATGATTCTCTCTCATCACTGATATTTCTATCTCTCTCTCCCTCTCCATTCCTCTCTGAAATCAATAAAAATATGTTTTAAAAATAAAAGAAAAAAATGCACCATATAATCCAGCTGATGCAACTGCATCTCTCATCTGACCCGCCCTCCTTAAATTGATGGGCTGGGCAAGGCTCCTCTCAAAGAAGACGTTTGAACATCTGTGGGGAAGACTCATTTCTCTGTTTGAAAATGTAAAACACAACCGCCACCAGAGCAAGCCACAAACACATCCCTTCCAGATCCACAGCGTGTGCTGACACCAGAGGCGCACAAAAGCAGCGTGCCTAATCCTCCAGGCCAGGGAGCCTAGGTGCCCCCTCCCGAGGAAGAGCACACCTCAGTGCTCTCCAAGCAGAAAGACAGGATCCAAAGAGCTTTCAGAACGGAACTGGGCCCTCACGCCACAGCACGCTTCCAGAGTCTGCAATACCAATGCATTTCAGTAGCAGGGCCGAGGAGGATTTCTAGGATCTGGAGATGGAGTGAAAGGAAGTGATCTTGGGTCCCGCACCCAGACAGGAAATGCCAGAAGTCCTGCTCACCCCAGAACGTCAAATGATTTCATTAGGTCTCCACACCCTCACACACATAAAGTCTTGGAGAAGATCTCTCCCCAGCTTTAGGTAGAGACTTGTGGGACCCTGGGAATATCTCATATTTCGATTTCCCTTAAAAGAGGTGAATAGGCCCTAGGGTACCTGGGTGGTTCAAAATTTTAATTGATCATTTAAACACACCAATTCATTAAATCATACATGATTATTTACATGGGGGCTATTTCCACAACGTGGTCTATCTTCCTGTCCTTCCAAACCTTCTCTATAAGCTCTGCTTAGGGAAGGGGGGGATAGGAGGGAGAGAGCACAGAAGGTCCCTCTGACCTTCTGCTGACAATGTCCCTGCTGCTGCATCACAGCAACACAGCTGGGCTTGTGGCTGCACCTGCTCAGGCCTCCCACGGGTCGCACCTGTCTGGCTGCTCTGGGAAAGGCCAAGGGCAGCTCACCTTGAGCTTTTTGATTTGCAGCTCAATGGACTGGATGTCGGTGCTGAGCTCCAGGCGCCGGAGCCGCTCCAGCTCCTCCTCCGTCGCCCCCAGCCAGGTCAAGATGTTGTTCAGGTCGGAGCCGAACTGCTGCCACTTCTGGAGGTTCTGTTTCATCCGCAGCTCCTTGCTCAGGGCCTGCGCCTGGATGAGCTCCCACCGGTCAATCACACCTGCGAGACAGGACATGCACACAATAGCAGGCATTCTCCTCCACGTGCTGGGTTTGGGGAAGGCTGGAAGCGTGCACTGGGCTGACTTTAATAGCAACAGAGAGAAAGGAATCCCCGGGCATGTCTGTTTCCGTCAGCTGTAAAGAATAGCATCACGGCTGT